CGCGTTTCTTTCTCCCCACCCTCTCTGTTCTCTCTCTCTGTCTCTCTCACTCTCTCTTCTCTCTCTGTCTTCCCTCTCTCTCTGCTCTCTCTCTCACGGCGCGCTCCCCCCCCCCACTCTCTCTCTCCCCCCAGCCCGCCCCTCCTCTTCTCTCTCTCTCTGTTTGTCTCCTCTCTCTCTCTCTCTCGCGCGCTCTCTCTCCCTCTCTCTCTCTCTCTATCTCTCCCCTCTCTCTCTCTCTCCCTGGCTCCCCCCCCTCTCTCTCTTCTCTATCTCCCCCCTCTCTCTCTCTCCTCCCTCTCTCCTCCCATCTCATGCTGGCGTTCTCTTAGCCAGCCGCCGTACCGGCGTGTACCACGATGCGCTACATCGAGCTCCGGAATTCGGGATCCGGAATCCGGAATCCGGGGTCCGGCCTTCGCGTAGTAACTGATTATCAGCATAGGGACTGACAGCGCGCAGCATGCATTACCCTAACGTACGCATACATGCAGCGGCAGCTCTTTGCTAGCTGATAGAGAGCGCTGACCTGCATGCTGCTGCTGCCTGCTGCCTGCTGCTGCCTGCTGCTGCTGCTGGGTGGACCCCGGCCGCGAGATAAGCATCGCAGCGCCAGCGGCAGCTGATAGAGAGACAGCGAGAGAGAGAGACGCGATCAAAAAGCTCTCAGTGTAATTAACTTTCAAAGCTACTGCTTGCATACACTGTTGTTGCTGCGTGCGTGCGTGTGTGCGTGCGTGCGTGTGCGTGCGTGCGTATGTTATGTGTGTTGTGTGAGTGTTGCGCGGGGGTGCGTGGGCGTGGGATGTGCGCGCATATGTGTGTGTAAAAAACCAACGCAACTCTCCCGCTATATTATCCTACTGCGTAGGTGAAGGCCTTGAGTGGGCCCGCGTAGCAAACCATGCGTAGCGTGCGCTGCGCGCTGCGGTGCGAGCTGACCAGTGATCGCAGCACTTCTCACACAGATTTCAGCTGGTCGCTAAGCGCCTCGGTTAGGGAGGGGGGGCAAAGGGGTATCTGCAGACCGAACGTCGTGAGTGGCTGTACAATATGCAATGCCTCCCCCTTCCCCTCCCCTCACACTCTCCCTCTCTCCCTCTCTATCTCGCTATCTTCGCCTATTCTCGCTATCTCGCTCTCTCGCTCTCTCTCTCCTCTCTCTATTCTCTATCTATCGTCTCTATCTCTCTAAATCTCTCTACTCTCTACCTCATCTACTCGCTCTCTCTCTCTCTCTTCTCTTCTCTCTCTCTCTCTCCCTCTCTCTCTCTCTCTCTCTCTCCTCTCTCTTCTCTCTCCTCTCTCTCACACAGCACACCACTCCCCCACCCCTCTATCTCTTCTCTCGCTCTCTTCTCGCTCTCTCTCCCACTCCCCCATCTCTTTTTCTACTGTCAGCTCCTCCTCATACCCCTTACCACTATTGCGACCCCGGGGAACCTGTACACACACGCTAAGCGCCTGTCGTGCACCAATATGTTTTCCTGGTCGCACCATCTCTCGTCGAATCTATATCGAATGTTTGTTTTACTCGCCGACGCATTGCATGGCTACATGGTCTCCGTTGGCCTACACCGCCACGCTGTACGGCCCCTCCATCGGGGGCGGCGCGGCAGGAGGCCGCTGGTGGTGCGGTGGTGGGGTGGGAGTGGGGGCAGTGGGTGGGGCCAGAGGTCGTATCGTAGACCATGTAGGCAAATGTTGTGCGTGTTGTGTTGTGTTGGGGTGTGTGTGTCGGTGTGTGTGTCTGTGTGTGTGGTGTGTGTGTGTGTGTGTGTGTGTGATGTGCTGACACTGGCTTGTGTTGTCGTTGTGTCGTGCGCATGGGCGTGTGCGTGCTGTGTGTGGGTGTGTGTGTGTGTAGATGTGGTGATGTGATGTGTGCGCGCGTGCAATCTGGTGCCGTGCGTGCGTGCCGTGGATGTTTGTCGCTGCGTGATGCTCGTGCGCCGCGTGGGTGTGTGTTTGCCGCGTGTGTGTGTGTGTGTGTGTGTGTCGTGATGTGTGTGTGTGTTGTGTGTGTGTGTGTAGTGTGTGGCGTGCATGTGTGCGTGTGTGTGTGTGTAGAATGTGGTGTGTGTGGTGTGTGCGATATGTAAGTGTTAAGTGCGCGCGTGCATGTGTGTATGTAGAATGTGGTGTGTGCGCGCGTGCATGCGTGCGCGTGTGTGTGTAGAATGTGGTGTATGTGCGCGTGCATGTGTGCGTATGTGTGTGTGTAGAATGTGGTGTGTGTGGTGTGTGCGATGTGTAAGTGTTAAGTGCGTGACTCCTCTATATGACACGTTCACGCAACATAAGCACTTCGTTCAATCTCGCATCCAACGTCCAGGCATCCCACCGCTGCTGCTGCTGCTGCTGCTGCTGCTGCTGCTGCTGCTGCTGCTGCTGCTGCTGCTGGGCGTTGGTATGTGTAAGAAAGCAAGCACTCACGCACGCCCCCCCCCCCTCCACCACCCGTACACGCCAACGCAGAGGAGAGCGATTGTACTATAACGAGCCGATTTTAAAACAACAGGGGAATTTTCGCCTCTGAATGGATGATATTGACAGAGCGGCTGCCGACAGCAGGCAGGCAGGCAGGCAGGCAGGCAGGCAGGCAGGCAGGCAGGCAGGCTGCGTGGCACAGCGCAGTGTTGAACCACCGGACCCACGCGTGACCCCCGCGCCGTCACCCTGCCATACCGCGCCGTCAGCTAACGCTAGGGGGCGCCACCGCGATCGTCTTCTGCTCGACAAATGTCTTCTTTGTCAACCTCAATCGAGACCTCGTAGTTCACATGCGTCCGTCCCAACCAAGCAATGACGACCTCTCCCATTCTTCCCAGTAGATGGCGCTGATCGTTCGACCCTCATATTGAGCCAAAAACACCCAATATGCCCTGCTCCTGTCCTGTCCCGATGTACACGAAAAACAAAAGGCCTTATGGGCATTAGCCTTTAGGTGGCGCCACCGTTTCATTCTTTCACGCAATTAAATCTCAGGTGTGAGGATTCAGAATCTTAGGGAGGATGCCACCTGCATGAAGCCGTTTGCTCAATCAGCATCCGAGCGTGCCAGCATCGCGAAGACACTGGCGAACCCTGGAAGTGCACATTCACTTCTCCTAACCTGGACCTGGTCTTGACTACTCGCCCGTCCTCCGTCTTATGTGCCCGCCCGCCTCCTGCCTCGGTGCCTGAACTAAATTTAAAACGCGCCCCGGCAGCGGCCAATAGACGTCGGCACGCGGTTAACACGCGCCAAATCAAACTCACATGTTGGCATGCGGAGATCGCCCCAAGAAAGATAGAGAGAGAGAGGGGGGAGAGACAGAGAGAGAGAGGGCGAGAGAGACTGAGAGAGAGAGAGGGGAGAGAGAGAAAGAGGGAGAGAGAGAGAGAGGGAAGAGAGAGAGGAGGGAGCGAGTGAGGGGGAGAGAGGGAGGGAGGGAGGGAGGGAGAGAGAGATAAGAGAGAGAGAGAGTGGGAAGAGAGAATATAGAGAGGGAGAGAAGGAGCGAGGGAGAGAGGGGAGAGAGGAGGAGAGAGAGAGAAGAGGAGGAGAGAGAGAGGAGAGAGAGAGAAGAAGAGAGAAAAGCGAGGAGAGAGAGAGGAGAAGAGAGAGAGAGAGAGAGAGAGAGAGAGAGAGAGAGAGAGGAGAGAGAGAGAGGAGAGAGAAGAGAGAGAGAGAGAGAGAGAGAGAAAGGAGAGAGAGAGAGAGAGGAGAGAGAGGAAGAGAGAGAGAGCGAGAGAGATGAGAGAGAGGAGAGAGAGAGAGAGATGAGAGAGAGAGAGAAGAGAGAGAGGACAGAAGAGAGAGAGCAAATCAGAGAGAAGAGAGGGAGAGAGAGAGAGAGGGGAAAGTAAGAAGAGGAGCATCTGTAAGCATGAGGACTGGGAGGGAGGGAGGACGGGACGGGCAAGGAACAGGAGGGAAAGGCGACAGGGCAGGCGCAGGGACGGGAGGTTATAGAGAAGAGAAGATAGGAGACGAAGAGAGGGAGGGAGGAGGGAATTGAGAGAAAATAGTTGAGTTGAAAGAAGAAATAGAGAGAGGAATAAGAGGGAGAGATGAGAGGGAGACAGGGAAAGACGGAGAGAGGGGAAGGGAAGGGAGGGAGGGAGGGAGGGTGAGGGAGGGGAGGCAGGGGTGAGGAGAGAAGAGAGAGAGAGAAGAAGAGAGAGAGAGAGAGAGAGAGAAAGAGAGAGAACGCAGAGAGAGAGAGCGCAGGCACTCTTCGCGGTGCGGTGCTTTTAATTACGTCGTCAGATGTCCGCGAGAAGAGGAAGAAAAAAGGAAGAGAAGCGTAACAAGAATCGCCGAGTGATAGAGAGGGAGAGAGAGAGAAAGCGAGATACAGAAATTTACGGCGCGTATAGAGGGAGACGGAGCAAAGAAGACAGAGAGACAGGCAGACCGCTTACTTTGTCCAGCTGAAGGCACCACTCAAACATCGCGCGTGGCGTCGAACTATAATCGAATGTTTGCTGACGTCGTATCGAGGCGACGACTTTTCTGAGCATTTCCGCGCACCGACTCCGCCACGCGACCGATCCCCGAACCCGCGGCCAAGCGGCAAACACGCGATTCCGCGCACGGACGGCGACGGCGCACGGACTCAGAGTTTCACGGATCGCTCGCCCGAAAAAAAAACACGGAACGAATTTCGACGGCCGTCGTCCGACGTCGGCGACACGTGCTGCCACCTAGGAGCGGCGATGGGCGCGCGCGCGCCTCGCCGGGCGAGGCGACGGAGCGACAATTCAATCAGCTTATCGGGAATAAACAGTGCGCCGGAATTCTGGCGCTAGCTCGTTATCTCCCCCCTCAGCCTTTGCTGCCATATTTGTTCAGCCATCCGCGCTGCTTCCTTGACTACTTCATAAATTCTATCTGAAACGACTCGCCGCATTGGCGAGGGGGGGTCGGCAGGGGGACGTGGGAATCACGTACGGGCTTCTCTATCACAGCGCGCTGTTAACGCGTTCTTTCTTTCTTTCTCTCTCTCTCTCTC